TGAGGAGGTGCAGCTTCAGCCTGATCCACGTGGAAATATTTTCCCTGGCAGGAGGCGCAGCTCAGGGGCACCGCCCCTCCTTTGCCCCCAGGATTCCCATTGGATTCCCAGAATTGCTGCCTGGAAGGATCAGAGATCGGAGGAGTGGGGCCTGCTCTTCTTCCCTGGCTTTGTTGCTCAATGCCTCTTTCTCTCCTTCCTGCCATGCGAAGGGTGGCTGTGTGAACAGGACCTGGAGCACAGCAGGCAGAGCCGGCCGGAGGCACCGCCCCCTCCGCACAGACCCTGTCGGGGCCCCTGGAGGCAGCCTGAACCTTCCCGTCAGTGCGCCCTCGCCGCGCTTTTTCCATCGCTGGTCTCTTTCCTTACCGTACGCAGCAAATGAATGGCCGAAGGCACGGACCCCTCAGCATCCAGCCAGATGGACACCGCCAGGAAAAACAGCGTCCCCCATTTCTGAGGCATCTCAGGATTACAGGTTTTTGACCTGTGCCTGCAGCAAGAGTAGGAAACAATATTCGGCCAAGTGCTACGCAGCGGCGCCGTGGGGAGCAGAACGTGGGGCGCCGCCTGCAGCCAAAGGCCCAGGCACCTCCCCTCCCCATGGAGCTGGCGGCCTTGGCCGGTTCTCCGGGCAGGATTCGCACCTGCGACCTCTGCTCTTGGTCACGTGGACCTGGGAAAATTCCTGTGGGGACACAGAGGGGCTTGCTTCCGAGTAGACTCATGCAGGATGGCACGTGGTGCTCCTTGGCTGTGTCCCTTCCACCCCACTGCAGTTCTGCACAGAATGAGGCACAAGAAAGGGCCCGGCTGCGAGGCCCTCCCCCCATTTCTACTGCGAAGGAACCAGAGCGCCCCCCCTGCCCCGAGGCGCTGCTGGTGGCTAGTGCAACACACTTCGGTGCGAGTGCAAGAAAGTGTGTTCTCCCATCCAAGCTTGCAGGGCCTGTGCCCAAAGCAAGTGGCAGGTGGGGAGGGCACCCCCATCTTTTTCAGCCCCCACTTGGCCTGCTCCGCCTTTCGGCTCTCCTGCTCCCACCTGCCTTGCGCACCTGGGTCTACCTGCTGCTTCTCACACACCTTTCCCTGCAGTCCAAATAACCTTTCTCCAAAAAGCTTCCACCGTGAGGCATTGTCCTATGTCCTGCTGCAATCAAAAGGGCTTTGTTGGGGGAGTGGGAACCCAAAGAGCGAACCGCACAGTCAGGGAAGGATGGCCTTAAACACCCACCGCAGGGGAATGAACCAAAGGGCCACTTCACAGAGGGCGTTGGCTTACAAGTCCCATCAAGCAGCAATCAGAATCATCAGAGATGCAGGATGATGGGGGCTGCGGTGCAGCACTATCTGCAGGGGCACTTGCTTCCCATCTCGGGTGTAGGACCTCCTAGAAAAGAGGGATGCGTCCTAAGAGCCACCTGCATTGAACAAATCTCACCTGGAGAAACGCAGAGCACCGTGAGGAAGAGCAGAAAGAGCAGATAAAGGAGCTTCATGGCTGGCAGGCGTCCCGGGGTCTTGAGTTCGTCGAAGGAACGATGAGGACAAGGCTGCTGTAACGTTTGATTGATCCAACTTTTATAGGAGGCTGGGTGGTAGTGCCCCCTTCTAGCAACAGAGGACATATTCTGGGACGTATGTGACCCTCAGGCATTTTGCAATGCCAACTGCAGTCAAGTT